CGGAAGAGAGGACACTCGCCATAACCTACAAATAACAATGTCCTTCGCAATTGAGATGTCAAAAATAAATACTAAAGGAGTATAATACTAAAAAAGTAGAACAATAATCAAATTAAACAACCAAAATCATACTTGAACTTCATGATAAAATCCCTTGGGAAATAGCGGACGAATCGGCCGGTCGATGAGACGACCGCATAAGAGTTCACGTTCTTTAGGAGCACCCTCTCTCCTCATGTATGTGTTCGGAATCACTCCTTGTGCAAATTGCTTCTCTTGATAATCAACCTTATAAGAATCAAAACAAAAAAGCGTACCACAAAACCCATTAGATAAACCTAAATTCCAAAAACAAAAAAGAAAAGAACTTGAAATTGAAAATGCTAAGTTCAATTATATAAATCACTCAACTTTGAGCTCCGAAATGATATATATATATATATATATATATATAAGAATTCAGGATTTCATAAACAACAGTTAATCAAATAACAGAATTAGAGGTCGGTTAAGGACGTACAGTGAGGGGTAAGAAATCAGCAACGGCGTTGCTTTTGGCGGAGGTGACGGTGGACAGGACTTTAGTCTCGTCTATGCCCAAAACGACGGCGCCATTAGCAAAGCGAGCGATCTTGCCAGTTTCGAGAGTGATTATGCGTAATCCGACTTCGAACTCCTCTCTGAAGGTCTCGAGCACCTTGGTGCCGGCGACGGAGGGCTCAGCGTCGGTGCCAAGCGGCTCAGACAGAGTCGCAAAGCCCAGTCGGCCGCTGCAAATGGTGCGGAACCCGAGACCTCGCCATGTGAGGAAATGAGGGACGGTTCTGAGGAGGGGGTTGGCTCGGCTCGCCACGGACACCATGGCTATGGCGCAAGAGAATAACCAGAGAGAGAGAGAGAGAGTTGTCCGAGGGTTTTGGGTTTAAGCCCAAGGAGGCAAAGAAATTTGTTTTTTTTCCCGTTTGCCTCCTATTAAAACGACATGTCATTTATAGTTTCAAAGCATGTTAATTTTTATGATAACGATATGGGTTTAAGATGAAAATGATATGGGTTTCTTGTTTAAAGTTTATTCATTGTAATCATATGTCGTTTAAGATGAAAACGATATAGTTTTCATTATATGGTTTTCTTGTCGTTCATTATAAAAACAACATGTAGCGTGACTTCCTGTCTCGTTGCATTCCAAACTTTATTGTCGTTCGGATGGAGAAACGACATGGCTTCTGCGGTAATAGTTTTATGTCGTTCGTTTTAACAGAGGGGTTTCTCGCAACTCTTTTTCATACCATGGTAGTGGATTATTTTGCAATGATGTTTAACGCAGTATTTGTTTGGGAGCATCTATTAATTAGAGGTGTAAGTTTAGGCTGTCTGATCAATCAGACTTGGTTCGGTGGTCTGAAAGGAAATTTTGGATTATGCCAGTCCAGTCTTAAAAGAAAGAAGGTCGATCTAACTATACCCTAAACTTAAAAGATTTAGGTCCGGTCCAGAATTTTATAAGGAATTTTTTTTAAAAATTTTTAAAAATATAATGTTTGGACCGGGAGAGAGGATCGGCCCAATCCGGTCCTAAGCCCAAAAATTTAACCCCATGCTTAGCTCAACCCAAATATGTAACTCTAACTATTAACGCATTATTTGTTGAGCGCATTTATCTGTCTAAAAAATAAGTTTTAGAGTACCAAAACAACATTTCTCTAAAATAAAACTAATGTTTCAAGGATATCAAAAGACTCCTTTGATATATGAGTTTAAATTAAGATTTTTTATTATGACTTTTGAAATTTAAATTTTTTAAAAGAAAAAAACACCGTAACATATTCAAAATTATAAATTTGCATTATAACAGAACTCATATACTAAACATATACAAATGATTTTATCTCTAAAAATTAATAACATATTCTTATACGAAACATTATACCTATTACTAAAGGAGGTAGAAAAGTTACTGTACTAAGTATAGTGACTTTCCGATTTTACCCCTGTTTTTTTTTGTTCAAGCCTTTTTTATACCGTCTGTGTCCTTTTGAGTGTTTTTATTGTTTTACCCTCGGTTTTATTTTGTTTATGTGTTTTTTCTGGGCATTTTGATCATTTGATTTGGTCCTCTTTCTTTTACCGTTTCCAATGTCTGACATTTGGATTGAATTGATACAATTATCATGACCACATAATTATCTTCATTTTTCATCGGTAAAAGAAATTATGTACTATAACAATAACCGTATAAAAGAGCTTTTTTCTTGAAAAAGATGCACAGAAATATATCACATAATACCTTCAAATTAATTATAAACAAAAAGTATCAAAAAAAATTGTGTGTTTTTACCGTTTTATCTTTGGTTGCTTATATCTACTTTGTTTTTTATTTGGGTATTTTAGTAATTTTGATTCAAAATAGCATTGTATGCCTTTTGTTATTCCTTTTCGTGAAGCTTTTCTTCTCTCTCTCATCCTTTCCGTGAAGCTTCTGGGCTTCAGTTATTTTCTGCATTTCTATTTTCCCTTTCTTTTCTCTCTCTGCAGCTCTTTTGCTTTGTTGCTTTGGTTGCTCTTATTACTTATTTCATTCTAGTCTTTCCAATCGTTTCGGTCTAGGCTTTTTTTGTTCGTCCTCAATCACAATTTACTACTTTGATTAGGGATTTCGCTCGAGATTTCTATGTCCTTTTCACCTTTTTTTCCTTTTTTTTTTTGTCTTTTGGTTGTTCTCATTTGGGATTTTGGATGTGTTTTTCCCACTATTTATGATGTTTCATGTTTTGTGTAGGGATTTCCGCCGTGAATTTCATGTGTTTTTTTCCCTTTTTCCCTTTCTATTTTATGTCATTTTTTTCTCCATTTATTTTTCTCCCATGGGTGCCTTTTTTTTAATTGCCGTTATTTCTTTGCTTTTTGGGTTGTTCTCATTTGGGATTTCGTATGCGTTTTTCCCTCTATTTTTGCCAGAATGAATGTTTTGGGTTTCATGCACTTTTTTGTTTTCCGTTTTTCATTTTTTGTTCTTTTTTTTTTAAATGACCGTTTTGTTGTTGTTGGTAATTTGCTCTTTATTGTGGTTGATTTATTAGAGTTTTTTACGTGTTTTAAGCCTATTATTATTTTTTACTTTTGAATTTTTTTCCTCTCACGGATCATTCTAGAATTTTCTTCGTTTGCTTTTCTTTTTTCAGCAGCTCATTCGGCTTCGTACAAGGAGATTTATATGCATGCATTTGATCTTTGGCATGGTTGATTCCTATAGGTGAGTACCAAATTTTCCATTTTCTTTGCTGATTTTGTGCCTCCGTTGTGGCTAAATTAATTTACTTTGCTAATTTGCGGTGATGATGTGTAATGCTCAGGATCTTAGTTTGTACTTTTACATTGATGATCTGTATTCCTTTTATTCCCGTAGCATTAAATGAGCTAATGATTTTTTTCTTCCTTTATTGTCCGGAATATCTACCAAATCTGCCACCCACAATGGTTATGTTTTTCTGTGCTTTTCATGCTATACAACACCTGTTATTGTGATAATTACATAAGCCTATTCTTTGTTTCCAGGGATGTTTATCGAGCTCTGATCAAAATTTTATTTTTTCATGTGTTGTAAATCTGTATAACAGATGCTTAATGTTTTATTATCCGTTAGTTATTGGCTCCGTTTTACAGTAATTTTCATGTTGCGTAACACCTGTTGTTAACTAATTATTATGTTGATTCAGGTTTCCTTGCAGGATTATGTATTGGAGCTTCTTCAGATATTGTGTATATATATTAGTTTCCTCTTCTTCTTTATCGTTTTTAGCTTTTCATATGTTTTTGTTTTAGCTTTTCTTTCTTCTGCATAGTTTTTAATACTTCGTTGTTCTATTTGGTAGTTTTTTTTTTTTTTAAATTTTTGTTTTCTTCCTGGATCTATTCCGTCAGTTGCTCTTCTGCATCTCAGGTATTTCTGGTTTTTTTCATATAGTTTTTTTTTTTGTTTCAAATTTAGGATTTGGTTTTTCGTCTTTATTCTTTCACACTGAAAAATTTGATTTGTTCTTAATTTTTTTTTTCTATAATTTCTCTACTTCTCAAATTGTTTTATTTTGTTTTGTATTCTTCTTCTATTTAGGGATGTCGTTTTCTTTTTTTTTTTTCAGAATACATTTATTAAAAAAAGACTTTTTTCAGAATAAATTTAATAATTTAGGTTTTTTTAAGAATATTTTTTTTCCATTTTGAATTTTTTTACGCTTTATTTTTTTGTGGTCATGATGATGTATTTTCTTTTTATTGTTGCCGTGCATCATGTAGTTTTTAAATTTGATTTGGCAGCCCCTGATGTTGCCCAGATTATTTAATAATGTGTATAAATATAATTTATTGTGTATATACCTAATGTGTTCTGATAATGACTATGATATTGTTTTCTATATATATATAGTGTGTTTTGTTGTGTATTTGAAGATTCTCATTCTCTCTTTTTTCATCCTTTGACTATAGTGATATCCTATTTTTTAGCTTCTCTGTTTTTTACACTGTTTACACATAACTCATATCCACATTCTGTTAGTACCTTTACTGTTTTTGAGAAATTTCTACTCTGTCTGTTCTTCATCTTAGACTGGGGTATTACTTTTTTACTCTTTACACATTTTTTGTGTAGTTTCTTTCGTTTTCTATTGTTATCTTTACTTTTAAGTTTATTAATATTTATATGATTTTTTTCTGTTGGATATGATTAAGATGTTCTGTTTTATTATTATGAGTCATTATGTTAGTATACTTTTATTTCTCTAAAAATAATACCATGTTACTCTGTTGGCTATGATTAATAGGAGTTTATGTTTATGTTTAGTTTCGCTAATAGGAGTTTTTATTTTGTTTTATTAGATATCATTACTATGTTTTATTTTGTTAATATAAGTCTTTACTCTTAGTGTTGCCTCATTTATCTAGGACTATTTTGTTATCTTTTTTTTTTTTGACATTATTTTCTTCATGTTTTTTTATGCGGTCTATTTTTAAATTTTTTATCTCCTTTTTTGTTCTTCTATATTTGATTTCACCGTTTTTTTTTTCTCTCTTTATTTTTTTTTCCAGTTCCTTAATGTTTTTTGTTCTTTCATATTCATCATAAATGCGTAATAGTTTGTTTAGTTGGCAACCATGGACAAAAAAAAAAAAAAAAAAAACCTGAACCTTATATTATTATCTCTTTATTTGTTCTTCTATATCTCATTTTACCGGTTTTTTTTCATTTATTTTTCTATTCAGTTCGCTGATGTTTTTTGTTCTTTCTTATTCAGCATAAATTCTTAATAGTTTTGTTGGCAGCCAGAGACATTGTCAAGTCATGTTTAAATTATTGATGATATATGTTGCTAGCAGATTAAAGGAAATATATGAACCTTATATGTTTTATTTATATATGTAAAAAAAATGTTTCCTAGATATATAAATTTATTACATATTTAAATATTTTTGTGACATTTATGAATTTTGTGTCATGTTTTGTTTGTTTACTTCAATATTATTATTTTATTCTAATTTTTTCCCAACAATTTCTCTTATTTATTTAGTTGATATATGTAAAGAATATATATTTTTCTATCCACCGACCAAAAAAATTGTATCTAATTTATTTATTAGAGTAAACGTAATGTAATATATTATGTGTATTAGTTTTTTTTTCTTTCTACAACAATTGCCATAAATTGTATTTTTTAAAGTAATAGTAGTTTCATAGTATTTTTTTTTATTTCTAACAGATTTGACGTTTTGTTCAGAGTTGTATTTCTAAACAAAAAAAAAAGAAGAAAAATTTGTACTCTTGGCTATTCGTTAGCGCGGTTTTCTCTTGAATACAAAAGTGAGATTTTCAACGTTATATTGCATATTTTATTTATATTTTATACAAAATGTGT